GCCATCAAAGGGGGAGGAGGCGTGCACTGCACGTGACGCCCACCGAGCTAAGAAGGCATATCCAATTTCTTCTTAGCCATTGCCACGTTGTAACATGTTACAGTTGAATGTCGTACATTACTACGAAACAAAAATATGATGCCTGTTGTTGGGCATGCAACTGATATGCCACCATGTCCGTTATTAACTCTTAAAGCAACCAAGCAATGCATTTACACTTCTATCCTAACCAAAAAATTGTACAACTTGATGAAAAAATGAATCGCTCGCTCATGTAATTTGATGCAAAGCCATCTCTAATAAAAATTCAATTTGCCGCATTTTCTAAAGTAGGGAGATTATTTTGCTCAAACATCTGTAACTAAATTGACCAACCCCAACCCCCATCCTGCTCACTCTCAACCCTCACCCTTATCACAAAATTCGCGTGATGTTATTCACTACAAGCCTATAGCAAAATTTATAGATAGAAAATATTATACTACCTCAAATGCACTTAGTAAAAAGTTAATGATATCCATAATTAATGATACTCTCGTCCAATGCTCGATGATACCTTTTCATAATGAACGTGATCCTCTTGTCCAACATTCTATGATACTTTTCATAATTACATTGACCCTCCCGTCCAAAGAATGATACCCTCCTTAATTAACATGATCCTCCCGTCCAATGCTCGATGACACTTTCCCTAATTAACATGATGCTCTCTTACTACAATGAATGACACTCTTCATAATTAACATCATCCTCCTGTCCAAAGAATGATACTCTTCATAAACTGACACATGTTTTTTATAGAATGAGTGTGATGAGGAAAGAAAAGTACCGATTTGTGGAGGCAAGGAGGCGAATGTATACGATCCTCCTGTCCAACGCTCAGTGATATACTTTTCATAATTAATGTGATCATCTTGGCAAACGCTCGATGATACTTACATAATCATTCCGTACAAGAATTCTACATAATTAACGTGATTCTCCCCTTCAATAAATGATACTCTCCATAAATTAACGCATGTTTATTTTAGGGTACTATTGAAGGAAAGAATAGTATTAATTTGGTTTAGATTATTTCAAGTTAATTGATGGAAGGGGATGGAGACGAGCTCTCCTTCAATAGTACTCCCTCCGACAAAAAGTGTCTACTTTTTTCCCGGAATGTCTCTGCACATGATCTATGAGGGCCGACCTGCACACGACACTGTGATCTCGTGTCTCACTTTTCAAGTACAAATTTGATCCACGGTCGTTAACTTAGGTTCACAGTGTCGTGTGCAGGTGAGATCAAAAATAACCGGCCGTCTAGCACTGCTCCTTTTTTCCAATCGGAAGAAGTAAAAGATTTGGATAAATTGTGAATGCGAGTCTATACACTCCCGTTTTAGAAGTACTCTTTCCGTTCCTACATATAAGTCGTTGCGGGGCTGTAAACTGAACTCCTCCAACGACTTATATTTCAGAACAGAGGTAATAGATGACATTTTAACCATGCGGTTTTCTTTGTTTTTCATGAGACTACGATCCAATGAGATCGTAAGATCGAATTTCCCTAGAGTAACTTCACAAGCCACACGGACAAGGGTTGGTGAAGCCGGCGATCCATGCCTGACGTCCTCCGGCCTTCCACGCAGCGGAGTCAGCGGCCGCCGCCGCTCCAGCTCACACGTGCGCCGCCACCACGTGTCGCCCCGCGCCGAGCACCGCCGCGGTATCTGTAAAGACGCCCTTGTCGCCTCCCGGAATCACCCCACCACCCCGCGCATTTATTCCCCTCCCGTCCTCGCCCCCGCGCCATGCCGTCGCGCCCCTCCTCCCCTCCCACGCCCGCCTCTCCGCCCGTCCGACACCGCCCGTCCCACGCTGGCGCCGCCCCCCTCCGCCGTCGCCGTCGCCGCCACCATGCCGGAGCCTGACGACGAGGGGGCGGGGCAGCAGCAGCAGCCGAAGGGGGGACCCGCGCTCGAGGGCCTCGTGGTGGGGAGCTACTGCCACGACGTGCTCCTCCGGGGCGGCCGCGTCGTGGGCGAGACGCTCGGCGGCGCGGCGGCCTTCGTCTCCAACGTGCTCGACGCCGCGTCGCCCCCGGACGCCTCCTTCGCCGTCGTGTCCAAGGTCGGGCCCGACTTCGCCTACGCCTCCGCGCCGGCGCCCGCGCGGCACCCGCCGCTGCTCTGCCCCGCGCGGCCCACCACCTCCTTCCACGCCCGGTTCTCCGACGCGGCCGCGTCCGCGCACGCGCCCGACAGGCAGCTCAGGCGCGTCCACGCCTGCGATCCGATCTACCCCGAGGACCTCCCCGACCGCCGCTTCGCCTACGGCCTCGCCGTCGGCGTCGCCGGGGAGGTGCTGCCGGAGACGCTCGAGCGGATGATTCGGCTCTGCCGCGCGGTGCTCGTGGACGCGCAGGCGCTGATCCGGGCCTTCGACGCAGAGGGCGACGGCAGCGGCGCTGCCGTCCGCCACGTGGCGCTGGAGGATACGCCGTACGCGCGGCTTCTGCAGCGGGTAGCGTTCCTCAAGGCGTCGTCGGAGGAGGCGCCGTACGTGGGGGTGGAGACGGCGAGACGGTGCTGCTGCGTGATCGTGACGGAGGGGAGGGATGGGTGCCGGCTGTATTGGGACGGCGGGGAGGCACGCGTGGCGCCGTTCCCCGCCGTCCAGGTGGATCCTACAGGTGCCGGAGACAGCTATCTCGCCGGTTTCGCGGCCGGTCTGCTTTGGGGGCTCTCAGCTACGGACGCTGCGCTGCTTGGTAACTTCTTCGGCGCAGCTGCTGTCTCCCAAGTCGGCGTTCCCACCTTCCATCCCAAGATGTTGCAGGTTTGCACTCTTTCGAGACATCAGTGCTCACTTTTTCTGTTCATTAGGAAAGCACCTGGCGGCCGATCAATTAAATGGGATCCAAAATAGTAGCTTTAACAAGCTACATCCTAGAACTTCCTGAAATATATACATGCATTTTCATCAATAGCACTTTGGTGTGGAGCATTAGTTGATTGTTAGCAAGAAACATGTGTGATTGGAGCGGCCTGGTCATCATGGTAACTTCTGGTTCAATCCTGTGATGCTAGAGAAATTTTCTGCAGCATTGTAAGCTGTATATACCTACTTTAAAAGAAAGAGCAGACCAAATTCATCCTTCTGGGTCAACACTGCACAGATGTCAATGAAATGGTACTCTAATAATGTTACTCAAATTAGGAAAATCAATTAGTTGCCATTCAAGTCTTGTGATCTACATTGTTTCCTTCCCCCTATTTGTTACCTTTGGATTTTAACACCTTTCCTAGATCAGGTTGGAGTATTGGGGACTTAGACCTGTTCTTAAGCCTGTTTATCCAAATTGATTAGTTACCAAATTACATATGGTGTGGTCAGTTATGTTCAAACAGCACATGTTTAAGTCAGAAGATAATACCAGAAAGCTGGTGAAAATAAGACAAAGACATATTCAGCCGTGGAGTTCTACAAATCATCCGGCTCGTCCATATCCAGCACACTTGAATCGATGCCAATTGTCAAAAGGGAAATGATTTTGTCCAAAAGGAATCATTGCTAGGTTTTTAGGTTTTGAGATGGTAGCATGCAGATGCCGTGAAGGAATGGATTGCAGAAGTATTACCATGACCATACCTGGGTCAGAGTGATACATGTTGGATATTTTGGTCATCTTGAATGGAGCAAATGGGTTAATTATAAAGCAGGGGAGATACTGAGAAAGTGGCATATTATTGAGATGAAACATGAGTGACGTATCATGGTTCATCTGTTAAAATGGTCTGAATGGAATATCATAGAGTTCCTGGTGCCATAGCATAAAAATGCATTTCAATGAAGAGTGTCTAGTGGAACTATTAGGGAATGAATTGTTAACAGGGTAAATAACACTTCCTCCATTTTTGTATACAAGGTCAATTTGTTGTCCGTATCAAATAATTTTGGTCAACAAAATATGGGTTATATGTCATAAAAAATATACTCCCTCCGTCCCATAATATAAGAACGTTTTTGACACTAGTAGTGTCAAAAACGTTCTTATATTATGGGACGGAGGGAGTATTATCAAAAAGTTCTTCGAAATGTGCATCCAATGCCATAGTACTTTTTATGACATATGACTCACATTTTGTTGGTAAAACTAATGATCGAAGTTAGACTTTAATATATGAAGTGGCCTTGTATTAGTAGATGGAAGGAATATCAAATTCTACAAAAAATCTCAGCCCTGAGTAACCTCATCTAGGAGCAAGGAACCATGAAACCAATCAGAAACTGCCCAGCTCCCAGTGTCTTACTGCTGTCTTGTAAACTTGGTAGAACGTACTAAGTTTGACCAAGCAATAATTTGGTACCACTTTACACTTAGCAATATTTACTCATTTCACAAGGATTAAGGAATATATGATAGATCAGATTCACATATTTGACAGTCAAGTACTGTTGAGGTCCATAGACGGATAAGGGTCATATGCCTCAGATGGCTCAGATACCGTTTGTGACTTAACCAAGATTTTGTGGTTTCAAATTCAGTTGTCCAAATTTACTAAATGTTAACGACCTGTCTTTTGTTTTGATTTGTTGCAGGCTGTCAGACGGATACTCGAGGACAAGGCGATACCACGGTCTAGTCCATGTATAAACGGCGCCACCTTCACCTTCCAGAGATCGATTATGCACGATGAGCTACACGCATCCCTGGAGGAAGCAGCGAGGCTGATGCGCGATCAGTCACCACCAGCAACTGAAAACGGCGATGGTATTCTCTCGGCACAAGAGCCGACTTCACCGCCAAGTGGATGCTGACCTGAAGTTCACTGCGAAATAATGGGAAACTGCCCTCCCAGATTTCACATTGAGATCTGTACAGCCAACAGACGGAATAGATTGGTCCGCCGGAGCTTACGGTCATGAACTGTGTGGAATACGGTTCTACTCAAGACAGCTTCCCATTTGTTAGCATACGGAGAACCATTCTGTAATACTGAGATTGAGCTTGTTACGGCTGGGCTGTACATACCACCCCTTCAAGTTTCCCCTATAATTTTGTAGTTCATGAAATCCAACAAAAGTATTATGGAGACAAATTTACACATGGTTTTAAAGTAAATTTAAACAGTGCTTCCATAGTATTTCTTCTACTCCCTCCGTTCCTAAATACTCCTCCGTCCCAAAATAAGTGTCTTGAGCTTAGTACAAATTTGTATTAGAGCTACTACAAAGTCGAGACACTTGTCTTGGGACGGAGGGAGTCTTTTCAGAGATGAGATTTTAATGTGGATTACATATGGATATATATAGATGCACTTAAGAGCGTAAATTCACTCATTTTGCTCCGTATGCAGACTTTAGTAAAATTTCTTAAAAGAGTTATATTTAGAAACGGAGGGAGTATATCTAAATAGCTAGCCTCCATTAACTATTTTTCTTCAACATGCAAGTATGGCACAACATGCATTAGAAAGGCCACCCCATTACCATATGTCTCTCAACATGCAAGCATGTCACTTCATCATGACATGCATGCAAAAATGACCCAACTCAACATGCAAACATACATGAGAATTTTCATTCTATTATATATTTTCTCCGTCCGAAAATACTTGTTATCAAAATGGATAAAAAGGAATGTATCTAAAACTAATATACGTCTAGATACATCCCCTTTTATTGATTTTGATGACAAGTATCTCCGGACGGAGTATATCACAAACATTTAACAACTAGTATATAGTAATCAAACATAATAAATTATATATATATTAGTTTCAGTTTTTATATTATTACTTTAAATATTCATGTTTCATACAGCGAATCACATTGAAATATGTTGACATTCCTGAAACAATGTGCGGGCTATCATCTAGTTTGTCTGATGAGGGGATGCGGAGTATCTGCTCCAAGCTATCAAAAATGCCATTCTAGAAAGTCATGGCAAACAAAATGATGCTTTAAAATGCTAGTTTTGGAAGGATTTTGGACTGCTAATTGTTTTTTTTTTGCCATGGCTTACACGAATATCATTTTGCACTAAAATTTGTCTGCCAAAAAAGATCTAGATTTTATATTTTTTTGATATTTTTTATTTTACCTTTCATTAGGGAGCATTAATTTTGGAGCAGAATAGGACTTTTCTAATGGTTGCTTTACAACCCAAATTTATCTATGGGCGAATTAGGGTTGTACACATGGATATCCACGGCAACCCTGAGTAAAACTGCCTCACCGTCAGAAAAACCTAGATCGTCTACAACTGCTTCCTTCTCTCTCGTCGCCGCTAGAGTGCGCCGCCGAGCAAAGCCCACGTGGCATTGATAAGGAAAACCTAGATCATCTATGACGTTGGTCATTGTGAATGGTGTTCTAGAGCAAGCTTTCTCGGTGATTGACCCTCCGACGAGAAAGATGGCTCCCATCTCCTCTCCTTCCCCTCCCCTGAGCTCCCCCCTTCTCCTCTCTTGCGCTCTCCTCCGCCCGGCATCCGCGGCTTGCCCTCGGATCTGTGCTCCCCCGTGCCTCTCCCCCGTCTCTGGCGCCGTTCGCTCCGCTCTCCGCTGCCCCCTCTTCTTCCCTTGGCCCCCTCACTCGCCCTGTTGGAAATATGCCCTAGAGGCAATAATAAAAGGATTATTATTATGTTTCCTTGTTCATGATAATTGTCTTTTATTCATGCTTTAATTGTATTATCCGGAAATCGTAATACACGTGTGAATACATAGACCACAACATGTCCCTAGTGAGCCTCTAGTTGACTAGCTCGTTAATCAACAGATAGTCATGGTTTCCTGACTATGGACATTGGATGTCTTTGATAACGGGATCACATCATTAGGAGAATGATGTGATGGACAAGACCCAATCCTAAGCATAGCACAAGATCGTGTAGTTCGTTTTGCTAGAGCTTTTCCAATGTCAAGTATCTTTTCCTTATACCATGAGATCGTGTAACTCCCGGATACCGTAGGAGTGCTTTGGGTGTACCAAACGTCACAACGTAACTGGGTGACTATAAAGGTATACTACGGGTATCTCTGAAAGTGTCTGTTGGGTTGACACGGATCGGGACTGGGATTTGTCACTCAGTATGACAGAGAGGTATCACTGGGCCCACTCGGTAATGCATCATCATAATGAGCTCAAAGTGACCAAGTGTTTGGTCACGTGATCATGAATTACGGTACGAGTAAAGTGACTTGCCGGTAACGAGATTGAACAAGGTATTGGGATGCCGACGATCGAATCTCGGGCAAGTAAAATACCGATTTACAAAGGGAATTGTATACGGGGTTGCTTGAAACCTCGACATCATGGTTCATCCAATGAGATCATCGAGGAACATGTGCGAGCCAACATGGGTATCCAGATCCCGCTGTTGGTTATTGACCGAAGAGCGGTCTTGGTCATGTCTGCGTGTCTCCCGAACCCGTAGGGTCTACACACTTAAGGTTCGGTGACGCTAGGGTTGTAAAGATATTAGTATGCAGCAAACCGAAAGTTGTTCGGAGTCTCAGATGAGATCCCGGACGTCACGAGGAGTTCCGGAATGGTCCGGAGGTAAAGAATTATATATGGGAAGTCGAGTTTCGGCCATCGGGAAAGTTTTGGGGTTCACCGATATTGTACCGGGACCACCGAAAGGATTCCGGGGGTCCACTGGGTGGGGCCACCTATCCTGGAGGGCCCCATGAGCTGAAGTGGGAGGGGAACCAGCCCCTGGTGGGCTAGTGCGCCCCCCCTGAGCCCCCCTCTGTGCCTAGGGTTGGGAACCCTAGGGGAGGGGGCGCCTCCACTTGCCTTGGGGGGCAAGTTTCCCCCCTTGGCCGCCGCCCCCCTAGGAGATCCCATCTCCTAGGGCCGGAGCCCCCCTGGGGTCCCTATATAAAGAGGGGGGATGGGAGGGCAGCCGGAACCTGACACCTGGCGCCTCCCTTCCCCCCTTGCTACACCTCTCCCTCCCGTAGTCGCTTGGCGAAGCCCTGCCGGATCCCTGCTGCATCCACCACCACGCCGTCGTGCTGCTGGATCTTCATCAACCTCTCCTTCCCCCTTGCTGGATCAAGAAGGAGGAGACGTCACGCTGACCGTACGTGTGTTGAACGCGGAGGTGCCGTCCGTTCGGCGCTAGGATCTCCGATGATTTGGATCACGACGAGTACGACTCCCTCAACCCCGTCCTCTTGAACGCTTCCGCTCGGGATCTACAAGGGTATGTAGATGCACTCCTCTCTCTCATTGCTAGATGAACTCATAGATTGATCTTGGTGAATGTAGAATTTTTTTTATTTTATGCAATGTTCCCCAACAGTGGTATCAGAGCTAGGTCTATGCGTAGTTCTCTAATGCACGAGTAGAACACAAATCTGTTGTGGGCGTAGATGTTGTCAACTTACTTGCCACTACTAGTCATATTTTGCTTCAGCGGTATTGTGGGATGAAGCGGCCCGGACCGACCTTACACGTACGCTTATGTGAGACAGGTTCCACCGACTGACATGCACTAGTTGCATAAGGTGGCTAGCGGGTGTCTGTTTCTCCCACTTTAGTTGGAGCGGATTCGATGAAAAGGGTCCTTATGAAGGGTAAATAGAAGTTGAAAAATCACGTGGTGGTTATTCGTAGGTAAGAAAACATTCTTGCTAGAACCCTATTGCAGCCACGTAAAAGGTGCAACAACAATTAGAGGACGTCTAACTTGTTTTTGCAGCAATTGCTTTGTGATGTGATATGGCCAAAAGTTGTGATGAATGATATATTGTGATGTATGAGATCATGTTCTTGTAATAGGAATCACGACTTGCATGTCGATGAGTATGACAACCGGCAGGAGCCATAGGAGTTGTCTTAATTATTGTATGACCTGCGTGTCAATGATTTAACGCCATGTAATTACTTTACTTTATTGCTAAAACGTTAGCCATAGTAGTAGAAGTAATAGTTGGCGAGCAACTTCATGGAGACACGATGATGGAGATCATGGTGTCATGCCGGTGACGAAGATGATCATGGAGCCCCGAAGATGGAGATCAAAGGAGCTATATGATATTGGCCATATCATGTCACTACTATTTAATTGCATGTGATGTTTATTATTTTTATGCATCTTGTTTACTTAGAACGACGGTAGTAAATAAGATGATCCCTTATAATAATTTCAAGAAAGTGTTCCCCCTAACTGTGCGCCGTTGCTAAAGTTCGTCGTTTCGAAGCACCACGTGCTGATCGGGTGTGATAGATTCCTACGTTCACATACAATGGGTGTAAGACAGTTTTACACATGCAAAACACTTAGGTTAACTTGACGAGCCTAGCATGTACAGACATGGCCTCGGAACACAGAGACCGAAAGGTCGAACATGAGTCGTATGGAAGATACGATCAACATGGAGATGTTCACCGATGATGACTAGTCCGTCTCACGTGATGATCGGACACGGCCTAGTCGACTCGGATCATGTAACACTTAGATGACTAGAGGGATGTCAAATCTGAGTGGGAGTTCATTAAATAATTCGATTAGATGAACTTAATTATCATGAACTTAGTCTAAAATCTTTCCAAAAATGTCTTGTAGATCAAATGGCCAACGCTCATGTCAACATGAACTTCAACACGTTCCTAGAGAAAACCAAGCTGAAAGATGATGGCAGCAACTATACGGACTGGGTCCAGAACCTGAGGATCATCCTCATAGCTGCCAAGAAAGCATATGTCCTAGAAGGACCGCTAGGTGAAGCACCCATCCCAGAGAACCAAGACGTTATGACCGCTTGGCAGTCATGTGCTGATGATTACTCCCTCGTTCAATG